TAAGTGTTGAAAATCAGATTGCACAAGCGTCGCGTTTTACAAATATTTTTTTTCTTTTGTACCATTTTTATACTCTTGACAATCGGACAAGCTAAAACACAATGAAGCTTTCTTCGTATTAAAAAAAAAAAAAAGGAAAGAAATCATCAGGACAAAAAGTATACTCCCGAGGATCGACGCTTCAAAAAAAAGGAAGAAACGTATCGTTCAATGATCCTCTGGAGATCTTTCTTAATCAGCATCTTACATCTTTCCTATTCTCGTTATCGAGTTTCCTCACTGCGGTCGCTCGTTAAATTTGATTAAAATATTAGAAACAGATATACCACGTCTAAGTCATTCGCACGACCCTCTTTTTCTATTGTATGACGCTTCTCCTTCGTTTTTCTCTAACATTTGCCGAGAAATCGGAGCAAAAATGCAAATGCTAGAAGTGGATACATTACAAATAACATTTATCTAAGGAAAGAAAGAACTATTAAAAAAATTGTCTCCGAATCTTATCCATCAATCTTTATCATCGAAAATCTAGAGATTAAATGTCAAATTTTCATACGTTACTTAAATATAAAATTGTAACGGAGAGATAAAACGAGATTTAGATATAACAGCTGATTTAAGATCAATTATGAAATTCTAGAGAAAAACTCATGGAATATCTCTGGCCCATTTGAAAAATTCTGTAAGCCAGCATCTTCTGATCAGCGTTAGAGAAAAATAAATTAAAAAAAAATAATAAGGGAGCAGCGTCACCAAGACCCATCTTCCAAGAAGCAGTTTCAACCGCCCGCTTTCATCTCAGGCGTCCTCAATTTTCCAGGAACGAGCGGAATCGGGGTCGGCGGGGGACGAGCCCGCGGCATCGGAGGCGGCCCCCCCGGGATGGGAATCAGCGGCGGCGGCGGTCCAGGGATGCTGGGTCGAGCGAGCGGCTTCGGGCCGCGCAGCAGCGGACCCCACGGCGGCGGCTTCATCGGCGGGGGAGGCGGGGGAGGTGGCGGCCCGGGCGCTATGAGAATGGAGAAGATACATCCGCACCGGTTTAATCCGATTGGTATGGGTGGCGGCGGCGGCGGCGGGGGCGGCTACGTGCAGTCGCACTTCTGGTGACCGTCGCGTTGTCGCGACGATGCCGATGACGACGACGAGGACGAGGATATCCGTGGCGGCACTACAACGTCGGTTGCTGGTTGAAGCCGTTCTTCTCGTTCGAAATAAGTCCACGGAAAAAACCATGAATTTTATCATGAAAATTGAAAATTGAAGTGAAGGAGGTAGGTCGAATAAAACCGGATTGGGCCAGTTAAACCAAACCTGCTTATCTGTTTTCAGGCGACGAAGAGGTAATTCGATATTAACATCACAATGTTAACATGTTTTTTAGCAATAAATAGTCACGTATTTTACCAGCAATTACCAATTATGAGCAATTATTTTATCATTCATTTTAGCATGTTGAATATTGCATAATATTATTTTTTGTTTCAAAGATTGATAATAAAAAAATTTGATATTTTATTATATTATATTATATGTATAATAATAATAAGATTGTTATATATTAGCAATAGATCGAGTTAAAATCGAGCTACTTTTTCGCAGGGCATTCTATATCGTCGTTATAATTAAAGTATAAAATTGGAATATGATTGAATGATAATAATTTTATTAAATTTTGGACAGGGTACTATGCGCTTTTTAAACTGTTGGACTTTTCGCAATGACAAGCAAGTATCCGTATTCAAGATTTTTCCCGGTTTTATTCTACTTCTACCTCGAGCGATCGTGAAATTTAAAAGAAAGAGAAATCTATTGTGACTGAGTGCCTAGCGTGTCTAGCATTAACAATAATACGATATCCTAATTTTTGTAATCATGACAATATTGATGATTTAAATTTCAATAAAATTGAATCTATTAGGAATTGTGTTATCTGTATGATATCTATTGATATCTTACATTGATAATTATAATAAGACCTGATAAATTTCTCCAGGTCAGTATTTGATTTTATAATATATAATTATTAAAATTATAAATTATTAAAATTATAGAATATTTTGAGAAATTCACAATAATATATATAAACTATTTTATTTATTTAAATTATTAAATTACTTACTTTCTAATTTCACGATAGCTCGAATGCTGATTCATGTTCCAATTTGCCAGGATGTATTCGGCTTTATTATATTAGGATTTATTATTACATAATAAGATAATAAGCATTAAACTTCAATTCCCCGGTAAGCTCATGATCCAAAAGATCCGAGTCCCGGTAAATCGCGTTGTGCAGAAAAACTATAGGAATTTTACGTATTGTTGTAAATTTCATTTTTTTTAATGGTTCTTAAAACTTTACAAAACGTTTAATCATAAGAATGTTTTATTCATAAATTGGGGGGGGGGGGGGTGTCAAATTTCTCGTTCAACGCGAATATTTGAGCATTCTGCGGTGAACGAAAATTTGTATATTTGTGAGATACATTTTTCCTTCTTTTTTTAATAAGATAGACATGGCTCTCAATTACACACAGTCCTTTCAAGAAAATCCAATACCTGTAAGTGAATTGTATGCCTAATGACATATATTTAGACTTGCCATATAAAAAAGACAACAGGTAAATGCCAAAATTAAAATTTCGACAAATATGCTATTTCTCTAAATAATATACTTATAATGTTAAATATGAATAAAAAAATATGATAATTTAACATTTTTATTTAAAAAGAAAATATACAATTTTTATTTGAAAATCATAGTATAAATTTTGACAATCAAATTCCTAGAGTTTCATTTTAATGTTAATTATATATTTTAATGTTAATAAGTAATATTTTAGGTATTGGGTCTTCTCAAAGCAGATATACATTGCGACTTCGACTCCCGAAACGTTCTAATTTGTCGTTAGACGAAGAATACGCGATTCAAACGTGCCGTAGTTAATTTAGATTAAGCGAATTTTAAGCACGTGTCGCACGGAAGAACAGGGTGAATGTAATTTATTTTAATATTTGAGAACAGTATTAGAATGAGTTCGCGTATTCTTTCGCAGTCTTGGACGAACTTTCGACATGTCGCATGATGTATTTAATTTCGTCCGATCCTTCAGTGGCGTTTTACGAGATTCGTAAATATTGTTGCTGAAGGAAGGAGGAGAGAGTGAGAAAAATATTTTAAAATATGTAAAGCCATCAAAACAATTTGGAATAAATACTATTAGCAACTATATATTTAGCTTTTGTTAATTGATCGTATATTTATATCTCTCAATTTCTATTAATTATTTCTAATTAATTTTTTGATAGTATTTATATAGTAAAATACATATTCTCAGATTTAATATCAAAATTTTGTATATGCATGTACTTAAGATCTGATTGATAAGCATAGAAAATTAGTACAAGTGAATCTCGAGAAGCGTTCGATTCTTTTAACAATTAATTACCATCGCCATCCTCGCCATCAGTGATGTACATAGGCGTGTAGGAAGACTCGACATTAACGCGACCTTATAGACAATGAGACTGATTTTTTATAGAGGACAAATTTTAAGCAAGTATACGTTGAAGTCGCGTGTGTCGTATTTCTAGCTAAAAAAGAAAAAGAATAATAAGCTGTACTTGTATTTTGAATCTATGTGATAGGTTTCAAGAGCAGCTCGAATTGTCTATAAAAATCTGTGATTTGTACAAAGAAGAATAAGTGAGAGAGATATCGATAATCAGTCATTGCGTAGAGAAGACAAAAATATCGTATTTTACGCTGCATCTAAATGCAAGTGAAAATACAAATTTGAAGCAATAAGGAAATGGAGACGGAGCCAATCGCTCTATAAATTATATATAATAAATTAAAATTCTCTAATTAACGTTAATTTTTGTATAAGAATATGCAGAATCTTAACTTGGTTATCATCATAAACGTACAATCAAATTACCTGTTACTTTTATCTTATTGTTAGATATTATTTAGTAATTTCTTAAAGTTACCTGAATAATTATATATTATATATCTATGTTATATCTATTATATTAATATCATTGTTCACATAAAAGTTAAGCAGTGTGTGGCTATACACGATCTGCAGGCAAGATAGCATAATTTATATTTATCACATTAATAGTATAATTATCATTTTTATGAGAGAAATGTGTATGTATATGCAAATTGCTGAGATTTATATAATTATTAAGAGTTCATTACGTTATAATGGAAGAATGAAATAAAGTGATATTTAGAGTCGTAAATAAAAGATTCATAACAAGTATAATCGTGCAAAATCGATAATTGACACATTGCAAAATCGGAGCAACATACACATTACTACAATTTATTAAAATCTTGCATGGAAAAATCACATAAACGAATATTGAACTCTAATTTTGACGAGAAAACAGTAATTAACACTCCTATGTGAATTGTTATGTCGCACTAATATGGATGTGTATCAAACAATTTAATAAAAAATACTGTCCGCTATGGGAAGAGAATTTTTTACGAAACTTACCGTAGAAATATTATATTTATGAAGATAATATTGATAGAATGTAGGTTCGTGAATCTGAAGAGATGATTATAAAAGTGTCAAAATAGAAAGGATATTGCTGGAAAATATTTTATTAATTTATGTCCGAGAAAAAGTGCACATTATATACAAATTTTTCTGACTTTTATCTAATCTTAATTTAACGGAAAAGTAAGAGATATATTTTATTTTAATCAATTTAAAAAGTAAAATACTTAAAATTGTTTTTACGAGTAATTCAGTATCATTGAATAGAATGGGCATTTTATCATAATTCCATAGATGAATACGACTGACCACAGTGTTGCCCTTCAAAAGGCAGCTGGCATTTAAAAAAGCAAAGTGCCCGATGAAGAGCCGCAACGTAGTCGTTCGATAATATTGTTCGAAAAATTCTTCTTTCGTAATGCGGGGGAATATCAAAAATCTTCATACATCACCTGCAGCACCAACAAATCAATAAGAAGAAAAGATGCAAACGAAATTATTGACAAATTTCAGCTGTAACAATGTGACAGAAGCATTCAAAGCGTTCAGATTAAGTCTCTTTCTTTTAGAACCGCACGTACAACCAATTTTGATTCGAATTTATTTTTGATTACCTACGGCTTAAGAGATTTTGAAAAAAAAATATTTTCTAAAGAATGTTAAGAACTGGATAATGGGACATTTAATTGTAAGATTACAAACAGAACGAAAATTATAATGAGTTAACGCTACACAGGTACAAATAAGATTATAAATTATCCCTTGTTTATGGATACTAAACTCCTACCTCGGCATCCTTTATTATAGCATATAATCTGAAGAAAAAGAAAGATTAGCCAGGTACTTCTGAAGCAAAGGTTGAGCTCTTTCAAGTATGTATTCACCGCTTATTCGCGACTAATTCAGGTACATGGAATGACTCGTCAAGACTGCTGATTGTTAGACAGCTGCTTTTAGTCATCATTCCGATATATTCACTGCTGATTCACTGCTTCATACTATAAATATTTAAAAAAAATTATGAATGTTTATATATTGTATAATAATATATATTAAGATTGAGATGTTGTAAAACAATGTAAAAATTATTTTAACAAGTTAATATTAATCACACAATAATGTTTTCTTTTATTAGCATGTCATATATACTTCACAGTTCAGGAATATAATTTTTATAATTTTTACAAACATCACTATATATATTTCAAGCCACAAAATTAGTTTCTACACGATATATTTTATATTTCAAGAGTAATTTACGTATTCTTTGCGAATTTTTAGCTTTTTTTCTCAAGAAATTGTAAGAATCTTTTAATACTGATATATAATAATTACATTCTAGAGTGTTTATCTGCTTTTTATCGCGAATATTTCACTCTTCAAGAACACTTTATCTCTACTGTTAGATTATGCGAAGTACACTTCAATTAATATTATTTGAAATTATCACAATTTTCTGGATTAGAGAAAGAGCACTTGCGAAAAAATGTCACGAGTAACGGAAGACGCAAACTGACGATTTCCAAGTTCGAACGGAGAACTTTATAACAAACACGATGCATTCCACCCACAGGATGTTGTGGCCTAGAGATTAGCCAAGCTCGTGAAAAGGAAACAGGAAGGGGCGGATATACCGAGATACCATCTTCACGAATTTATCCTAAAGAGTGACTACATTTTTTGCCTCTGATATGCTGTATAATTTGCTCATAATTCCGATAACAATTGCTATTTTTTTCTTTTAAATAATTACATTTAATATATCAATAGGAAGAATATTTTCAAAAATAAATGTGACATTCATTTATAGAAAAAGTTTACATTTTAAAAACTAATTAAACATATTATTTATTAAGCATGAAACTTCATAAACGTCGAAAGATTTTATTTCTGGAAAATAGAGGAAAAATCTTTTCCTCTCTTTTTAATCGTGATACATTTTTAACGTTACACAAACGGTCGAAAGGGATTCAGCCGATTCGTTAACCATCCTTTGACCTAACACCCATGTTTTTTTTCTATCTTTTCTCAACCGTCGTTCCCATTGAACCAGCCAGAATTCTCCCCAGGAAATGCAGCGAGACGCATCACGCGCATCTGTTCCACGTGTGTTTCATATCGCATTAAACGTGGCTAAAGCTCGTTGTATAATTTGAAAGCAAAATTATTCACACGCATTAGAATTCATAAAGATATATATTCATTACATATTATTTTATGACAAACTTTATAGTAATTATTCTCAAATGAAATTAATATATTTATGACTGTGTATTAATCGTGTGCAAGCTTCTTTTATAAATTAAACGTAACAATTTTATTGATACAAGATCTGCATTTTGTATATAACTATAAATTCATTCTTTATATCGGATATATAATGTAAAATAAATTATTAAATTTGTTAGATAATTTATAAACATTTTATTTAAAAATTGTATATCAATACTATATTTCTTTGCTAAAATTACCGATTAAATTTCATAATAAGAAATAGAATAAACCGCTCCTTCCGGCCGCAAACCTCTTCCCAAGTTTATTGATAAATAAAATTTCTTATCGTAAAAAGTCCGTTATTATTTCAGAGTTATAAAAAAATAGAAAAAAAGGTTGAAAGTAAAAAGTTTGAAAAGTAAATGTTTTGAAAATAAACGCAACTTGTGAAAATAATCAGTTTTATGCTATTGATTGCGGAGCAAAATATATCGTGTATTAAATTTCCAAATTTTAATTAAACAAAAATAATTAATTAACCAAATAAACTTCGCGAAAATTAAGTGGGCTTTAATTCTTTAGAATCTTTTTTAATTTCAAAGAGATTCCCAATTTAAGATGAATATATGAAAAGTTTTGATAAATAAAGTTCCCTCCCAAGAAAACTTGAGATAAAATCAATTATCGTTTCGATTAAAATTAACATCGAGTTTCTAGAACACCCTGTATGTAAAGTCGGAGCTCTTTGTAACGTCGAATTTGCCATTAAAATTTCTGATTAGTGCGATAGGGGTCAGTCGTTCGGATTACGAGAGAGAAAGAGAGAGAGAGAAAGAGAAGTCGTGGTCGAAGCGCATTGTTGGAATGACTCATCACGTGCGTGCGTTTTAGTTTATTTTTCTTGTGGCCGAATCAACGTGTGACTCCCAATGATATGCCGGGACTTTTTTTTCTTTTGAGGTCATGTTTTTTAATGCTCCTTTACGCAACCGCATGCCATTCGATAAAATACGCTTCCTCGATTCAATTCATTCACACGCAGCGATACTTTCGGTTGAATCTTATTACAATAAGAGAGAGAGAGAGAGAGAGAGAGAGAGAGAGAGAGAGAGAGAGAGAAATGTAATAACGCATATATATATATATATATATATATATGTTATAGATGTAAATCTACGCGATAGATCTCTTTCCCATGTGTTTCTTGCGAAGAAGGAATTAAATTTATAATCGTTTTACAAATGATACATACATGATTCAAAATCTGCGTTATTTTATAATTGCGTTTACAATATGTCATTCCAAATATGCGTTTAATTTAAAGACAGATATTAAATGTAAATAAAATTTTAATAAATTAAATATGATAATTAATTATAATGATTTTAAAATGTAAATAATATTTTATAAGTGGAAGAGGAATTAAATTCAAGATTTCATTATGATGTGTGATAAATCTACTGTACCATTGAATTGTACGATTAAAATGTTTCTCATTTAAAATTGGAAATCGGCGACAGAAAAATATAGAGATCTTAATGCGCAGAAAAAAATATATTTTAAATCTCTTAAAAAATATAGACTACTACAGATATATAAAAATATATACTACATATATAAATATAATTACAGTGTTGCGACTCAAGTATATGACCATATTTTTTATTAGAAATTATTTCAAAGGGAAAGGTTCTAGCTCCAAAAAAATAGTAAGTGATCCATGAGTAGAAAGAAAGAAAACTTGTTGTAGAAAATGGAAAAGAGAAAATTAAAACAGTAATCGTGATCCACTTAAGCGTTCTCCAATCATCAAAATAGACTCATACCAACCGCGACACCCGGTATATGACGCATGCCTCCTCCCGCGGAAGGAAGATACTCGTTTCCGTCCGGCGCGATACTCGCGGGAAACGTCGATTGCATGCGATCTTTTTTCCAATAACAATAACGAACCGTGACCAGAATTTTCCAACACGAGTTTTGCGCGCGAACCGACAACGACAACGACCGCCGTGTACGGCATCCTGAGGGCGACTGGACGAGCAGATTTGCGGAGCGCGTATGCGGGGAGGATACCGCCACCGCCGGGTGAGCATGAAAAAAAAGGAGAGAGAAAGAAACCGAGCGAACACACGTGGTGCCCATAGACGCAGCCGGGAATTCTATGGGACCCCTAGCAAGGGGACACGCCGGAATTTTCTTTTAATTCTGTGAATTACCCATTGTAAAACTCGCAAGAAAAATTGCAACCGAGCGAAATTAATTTCTTATTTAAATAAGCGTTTTCTTATTTAAGCGAGCGAAAAAGGAAGGTATATTTTATGTTAAAAAAATTTTAAATTTTGTATGTTAAATATTTATTATAAAAAATTAATTTATAAAAATTATGCGAAAATATGTATATATTATATTACATTCACATGGATTGTTTATCATAAGACATACAAAGCGGAAACTATATGTCAGAGATAAAATTTTCGTAAAGGTGAAAGCTGTCATCCATAGAAGGGATTGCAGGGTCAAAGAGCACTGTCCTACGACACGAGGGGACATGATGGAATTTGCATTTCCTGTCTACGATGAATAATTCCGGGCGAGACCAGACCGTGCCGGTCGCGCATGCTTTCGAATTAGGCCCCCGCGCATACTTGAAATCGGGCTCGAAACGTCGGCCTCTCTCTCTAGATCTGGAATCTTCAATACAATTCTTATTCCTGAATATATATTTATAAATTCTCGAGATCTCGTACAGTATTTAAATCCGATCTATTTTTCGCAGAATTCAATTTTTATAAGAACGATTCCCGAGACTTCCGATTGGCATCAAGTTCTTTGCGAAAAACAATGCGTATAAATTTCAATAAGAAATTAGCATTTCGAAAAAATTCGCGTCTTCGCGAATTCTTATTCGAGAAGAAATCGGAAAAGATTTCAACGTTTTTCTCCCTTGAATATTGAAACTAGATGTTACAAACGACGCAGAGTTCTTGCGAGGAAAACCTACGTTCAGAAGACGAGGGACCCGATACACGAAGGGTGGCTGGCTTCTCGGGGTAAAGAAATAAGAGAGACGAGAACGCAGCAAAAGAAAAAGGGACGTGGGGATATTCATGGGAACAGCTGTTCGTTGACGATGCGCACAGGGAGGAGACCTCACAGCGGACCCTTTCACGGGTCTCTCAGGTACGTGCAACACGTGTCGCGCCCGCGTTGCACTTGAGAAACCGCTCCCCTGATGACTCATACGGGGTACAATACGCGATATGCTTCGCACACGAAGGCGCGAAGCAACGGACCTACTATGACCTCCGGGGCCATTGAAGCTATACACATAGTGACGCATTTCTGACACAACTCTGATCGTCTTAAAAATTTTCTACAAAAATATTCGACAGAAACTCCGTTTATTTACTATTTAAATTTAGATTATTAAACAATTATATTAATTATACCTCACATTAATTAAAGGAATTGGAAAAGAAATACATCCTTCTTAGACTTCATTTATATCAAAAGCTAAAATTGCTCTGCAAAATTTTTATATCAAAATGTATATTTCTTATCAAAATGTGTTATTTTATATTAAATAGCAACAAGGAGAGGTAGTAATATTTTTCCTTAAAAATATGATTCTTGAAAAAAAGATTTTATCAAAACAAGTAAAATATCCTAGAATTGTCGATACAAATTTTATAGGAATATATTTTGTAGATTTTTATTCATATTCAATTGCACCATAACAAAAAAGCGTTGATAAAATTTTTTCCAATATTGTAGTCTCATAGTACGATAATAAAAGAAATATACAACTGCATCATTATAAGATCTGAATTATATTTGTGTGGAAAAACTTTATATTAAAACTTAACCTTCTGTATTTAAATATCTTTTATATAAAAAAGTATTGTATATAAATGTTTATATTGTACATTAATATTCTGGAAGCTAATCTGCTGTTCAATCGCGATTATAGAAACTATAAAATACAATAAAATTTTATTACAGTTTAATTGACCTCATTTATATATATATATATATATATATATATATATATATATATATAATTTTATAACAAAGAAATTGTATAAATTTATCATTTGAAATAATATTTAAAACTAATTGTAACATTTTATTTGGTTTTTTTGCGATAGAGATAGATCGATAACAAATTGTAATAGAAAAATATATACTTACATATTAACATTATTATGTTATTACCTGTGCTAGTGAGGAGACCTGTGTTTAACCAGGGATGTAATAAGTTATACACATGACCTTTCTCGATGTGCTTAGTGCTGCTTAGAATCGTCTGAAATCACCGGAAATAGAAAGAAGTATTATTTATTTATTATATCATTTAATCCTAGATATACTAATAATTTATTAATTGTACTTCTCTAATTTAATCTAATTTCGATGGAGTGTCGCTTTATTTCTTCAGTTTTTTAAAAAACATTTTTTATCAGCAAAAATCTTTTTGTGAATTGTACTTAAATCTAATTCATTCGTAAAGTGTATAAAGTATTGAATTTCATTTATTACCTCTAAATCGTCTGGATGACTGATTAACACTCCATATACAAAGAAACCCCCGAATTTAGCAATGGGATAATATTCATTAGATAATGTACAGAAGACCTTCCATAGTTTCTCTAAAAATTATATTATAAATATCAATACACACAAAATGTTTTGATGGAATTAATTTCAATATTAATGCACCTTTATCCAAATACGTTGAAAACAAATAAACAACAATAAATATAAGAATAGATAATAATAAAGATAAGTATAATGGATTGCAAGTTGCTATTGCAAAGAGAAATGCTCAGATAAGTAATTTACATGTAATAATTTTGATAAATATGTGTTCCAGAAATGATTCATGAATTTTTATTTATGCAAATGACAGATCAATTAATGTAAATAGATTAGAAATTTTGTATTTACCTGCTGACACTATGCTTTGGAACGCATTGCCAATAATCGAAAAGCCCGATGGTCCCGATATAAGATTAAGAAGTCGAGCGTTTCTTCCATAATGCACGTAATAATAATTATATATCAATAAAATAAATATAAATAATACCAATATAGTAATGAACATCATTTCTTCTGTTCTGATGTTTTTGATCGTTTAAATGAATTTAACTTTCTTCCATTTATTGCTTTTTTAATCTTGGATCACACATGTCACAAAATATATTATATTTGTTCAATAAAATTGACAATTAAACATTTATTTTGATATCCTAAATAATCCTAAACAAAGAAAGATGCTGAAATAGAAAGTATATAACAATCATTCTAATCTGCACTAATCGTATATTTTTTGTAGTTAATAATTTTAATGAGCTGTAAAAAAATATGATAAGTTTATTCCGGGTAAAGGGAAAAAATTATTTATATATTAAATTAGTCAATCAAGTACAAATTTTTTAATTAACTATTGTTTGCAAATGTTTTCTCTATTTTATTTTATTGTATAACATAAAATTTTATAAAATCTTATTGCAAAATCTTAATTGTCTTTAATAGTATTACAATTTGCGCGAGTGTTATTCTTACATCTTTATATCAAACAATATAAATTGTTTTTAACAGCGTCATAATTTTGTTTATTCTTTAATTGTAAAGAAATGTAAAGAATTCATAAGCGATCATATCATAATACACAATTACGATTCATTATTGTACTTACGCACGTATCTTAAATCAATAAATATACTTTTATATTATAATGGTACAAGAGTGACTTTGTAAATAAACCGGAGCTATTTAATTAACAAATTCTATCATAAACAAATAATTATTTTGAATTTTTTTTTGTTTTCTTCCAAAATTGTTAGCCTAATAATATTCCCACATATAATAATAAATAAATTATATAATTTTCTCGATTTCTTAAAAACGTTTATTTTTTTTTTAATTAAATATCGATTTTGTATATCTAATTATTGTATCAAACATGTCTGCAAGATTAATATAATGTACATTTAATAAGATAATAATATGAGAAATATTATAACATATTATAATAATTTATTAAAATTATAGCAATCAAATAGCTTATAGTTTGAAAAATATTGTATTAAACATTGGAATTTTGCAATAGAACATTATAAAATTGTATTTTATGCAAATATTATAAAGATTACCTGATAGATACTTTAATCGATACGATGATTAATCGATATATAACTCAAGTGATTTAAATGGAATTGCAACTCTCATCAAGCAGATATATAAGCCATTGGAAATCTGTGCGTGAACTGATAATAAAAATCTGAGGCCTGTATTTATAGCCTCTTAATTCAAATCCGTAATCAACTTTCTTAAGTCGCAAACGGCTGAATAATGCCACTTTGATTAAAGACTACATGACATTTTTTTCATATTTATATGAAAGAAATAGAAAGTTGTTTGTCAAGCCATTTTGATAGAAAAATAAATTTTTAGAAAACTCGAGATTCAATGTTCAAATTATTTTGATTTAAAATATCGATTATTTTTGTTATTCGAATATTTAACATATTCAAATCTTATAAAAATCAGAGGATGACATTTATGTCACTCTCTTTATGAGAAGCCTTATTTCTTTTTTTTTTGCAACAAATTGTTAACTTTCACTAGATCGAATACATTAGAATTCGATGCAATGAGAAGTGAGAACAATAAAATATCGATTCGTACAGCTTTTGTCTATAATCAACAAACTTGTTTATTATCATCTTCTGTTTCAGTTAGAATAAAATGAAATAATTAATATCGATAATCATTATATTATAAACAAGCAACATAGCAACATAGCAACATAGCAACATAGCACCAATAAGATAGCAGAATATCAGAAAAGAGCATAGAAAAATGTTAGTTTGCTAAATATAAATTTTGCATTTATATATCGTTAATATATTCAGTCGATTAATCTGTGTCGTTAAAAAAAGATCATAAACAAATTGACAGTTGAAAACAACATGATAATAAGATATAGTTGATAAAAGAATTATTTAAAAAATTGTTATGCTAGAGAATGTTGCTGAAGTGTATACTTTATTGGGTGGTGCTTTTTTGTCTATAAAAATAATGTTATCACTTTTAGAAATTGACTTGAGAATAAACAGAGATACATAAGCATTATAAAATTTTATTCTTTTGATTTAATATGTTTTTGAAATATTAAAATATAATAAGATTATATAATAAGGATATAAATGCGAAACTAATAAAATATGAGAAAGGGGATATCATAAGAAGACAGGTATCATAAAAATAACATAAGAATTAATAAAAAGAAGTAAAATAAAACATAAAATATATACAATCATTTATTAAATCACAATTTAAACTTTATAAGATAAAACATTTTGACTAAAAGAATATTAATAAAAGAATGTTAATAAGAAAAAATGTTAATAAAAGGAGAAATTTTTTATATATTATATATTATATATAATTTTTTTATTTCCACTCAGCGAAAGAATTCCGGATTAACTTAATGAAAAATGGCTTTCCGTAGAATTGGCTGAATAAAAGAATATACAATTAAATTCTTTATTAAAAAGTTTAAATTATTTTTGCACGAAAAAACTTCCCTATAATAATATATTTTTAATTTTATTACATAAAAAAATTTTGTATAATAAATGTTTATATATTGTACATTAATATTTTGGTTAATCTGCTGTTACAATCGCGATAAATACTTTATAATATAACTATAACTGTAGCTATAGCTATAACTATAATTAAAATAGAGTTATAACTATATGATAATTAGCAGAAAATTTTAGGTTTTGCACCTCAATTAAGTTTATTTTTATGATATATATATATATATATATATTTTTTTTTTTCGGTATTTTCCTAATTTCAATAACTTATATTAGATTCAGCTTTATTTTTGTTTGCAAGTAATGTTTTCACTACATGAATAAGATTCATGACAAAGAACAACTTCTTATATTCATTTGATTGAAACTTCTTATATTCATATGGTATTAACATTAGTTTTAAATGACTATTTGCATTTGATCGGAATGAATTTAAGATGAACTGGATGAGAAGGACGAAGTATGATATCGAATTTTAATTGGATATCTTTTAAATAATCAATAGGTTCCAAGTAAAAATTATACACCAAAGGAGCTATTAGAGCTTTCATCTCCAGCATACCGAACCGTTGACCTACAATACAAAATTTATTAAAATCGATCGACAAATGAGGATAAACAAAATTGTGGTTAATTTACCTATGCAATTTCTCGATCCTGCGCTGAATGGTATATAACAATAAGGATGACGGCCCTGTATCCTCTCGGGCAAGAATCTATCCGGATCAAATACTTCTGGATTCGGCCAAAAATTGGGATCTCTGTGAACTCCGTAGATATTAAGATATAAGATCGTCCCAGAGGGTACGATATATGATTCTAAAAAAAGCATATTATAAGATTAAAAAATACTAAAATTTAGGAAAATAAGAATTTGTTGAGAAAAATAAAATAAAATATATTGTATTCTTAAAATACTAATTAATTATTTTACATTCAATAATATACACGTCGTATTATATGTGTTATATGTAACATGTTCAAAAATATATACAACAAAAAAGTGACTAAATAAATAATTACGTAATTTTACATCTTCCCCAGGGTTTCGTAATATGAAAAACACGCTAGGATACAAACGTAACGCTTCTTTTATACATCTTTCTAAATATGATAAATTTTGCAATGAACTCATGTTAAGTTTTCCTTCGTTTTCTTGCATTACATTATCGATTTCAATTCTCACTCGCTCCTGTATTATAATAATTAAAACATATTTTTTTTGTGGTTTCTATGTGTGTTCATGGATATGAATAAATTTTTAATAAAAAACATAATAGAATATTTAATTAAGAATATTTAGATATGTTTTAATCTCTGTGGATATATATATATATATATATATATATATATATATATATATATAGAAAAAACATATCGCAATCTGATATCAGTATAATTTTAAGTAAAAATCATAATTTAAACAATTATTATGTATTATAATATATTGCGAGAAATAAATACCTGGATATCTCTGTGTTCAGCTAATAGTAGTAAAGTATACATTATACCTGCCGCTGTAGTATCATGACCCTGTAATTATATGCATATCATATTGTTATTCGTACTTAGATATCATGTCCAAAAAATTAAATAATTAAAAAAAATTTTTTAAAAATTAGACATACATACTTCGAACATAAAAGTATCGACTTCCTCTCTGATGTCCAAATCAGTTAAAGAATTTTCTTGAGATGCCGCTATTAAAAGGTCCAACATGGCTAACCGCTTTTTTTTAACTAGAAACAAAGCATCGTGATAACAATTTCACTTTTGCATATTGCGTTAATTTCATAGTATAATTCTTGTTTAAAATTTTAATGCTATTACAAATAATAATGATTTAATTTTGCAGCAAACCACTACGAGTGATTATGTGTATAATATAAATGGTACAAGCATAATTTATAATATTGATTGCACTGTGAAACTTAAATTAAAAACTCATCTCTTACGTACTTTTAAATATTTCGACATCTTCTGTTTCCTCATTATTTTCAAGATTTTTTAAATATTGATGGTTAGTAAGTTGGTGATAAAGCTTTCTTTCCGCAATAATCTACATAGGTACAATATTTAATTTTTAAAAATCTTTGTATTAATATCAATATAATTTTATATAAAAATGAAATATGAAGTATATGAAGGTGTTTTATTACGTACTTTTTCCGTAAATCCATGCAATATTTTCAAGACTTTCTTTTGCTTTCTTCCTTGTGGCGTCAATGAGAATAACATATCGTTGTAGAACCAAGGCTTCACTGCTCTAAATTCAATAAAGTTATATAATTGTAATTCAATAAAGCGATAATAGCTTCAATAATTCACTAATTTAATAAAGCTTTAGCTTGTAATTCAACAAAGCTATAATTTCAGTAATAATATAATTTTGTAAAAACCTAAAACGTTATTTGTAAAAGCATCAT